CTCGTTAGTGCTCCTTATAAACTGAATTTTAGAGAGGAAAAAGATTCTTCTGTTGTCTGTAAGAAGAAGCTTTCCAAAGATGAGGTTGCCTTTTTTCGAAAGGCGGTTGACAAGGATTATTATTTTCAAATGTACTATGATGATTTGCCTATATGGGGTTTTATTGGAAAAGTTGATAAGGAAGGAAAAGCTGATCCCAGCGAGTACAAGTATTTCCTTTACAAGCATATCCAGTTTGATATTCTTTATAACAAGGATCGTGTTATTGAGATTAGTGCAAAGATGGATCCTCATTCCCTCGTGGATTTGACTGAGGATAAGGAAGTTGATGCTGAGTTTATGTATACTGCCAAATGGAAGGAAACTGATACTCCTTTCGAGAAGAGGATGGATAAGTACTCCATGTCTTCTTCTTTGCCTCATCATTTGGAGATTCATTGGTTTTCGATTATCAACTCTTGTGTGACGGTTCTCCTTTTGACCGGTTTCCTTGCAACAATTCTCATGCGGGTCTTGAAGAATGATTTCATTAAGTGAGATCCATTAAATCTATTTGTATATATTTCTCATACATTTAGTTCCATTTTGATTGCTGGCTGCAATAAATATCTGTTTCTTTTATGAAAGGTATGGTCAAGATGAAGAAGCGGCTGATGACCAAGAAGAGACTGGATGGAAGTATATTCATGGAGATGTATTCCGGTTCCCAAAGTACAAATCTTTGTTTGCTGCTGCTCTTGGATCTGGAACACAGCTGTTCACTTTGTAAGGATCCCACTTATTCTGTTTTTATGTTTTTTTTTTTTTAGATTTGTGAAATTACAGTTATTGCATTGTGATCTATATGTCAATTATTGATTCTCCTCTCTCTAATTTCTTTTGAACCCTTGTGTTTTTATCAGAACGGTTTTCATTTTTATGCTTGCATTGGTTGGTGTGTTTTATCCGTACAACCGAGGAGCTTTGTTTACTGCCCTGGTGGTAATATATGCACTCACGTCAGGAATTGCAGGATATACAGCAACTTCTTTCTACTGTCAGCTTGAAGGAAAAAACTGGGTATGTTTAGATGGATTTTGTCTTCTAGCATGAGATGATAATGATTCTTCTAATAGTTAGTCTTCTAAGTGGACTAATTTATGTATATGATTTCTTGGATTCACAGGTTAGGAATCTGTTATTGACTGGCTGCCTTTTCTGTGGGCCCTTGTTTCTCACATTCTGCTTCCTTAACACAGTTGCTATTGTGTACAGTGCAACTGCCGCACTGCCTTTTGGAACTATTGTAGTAATAGTCCTCATATGGACACTAGTGACATCTCCATTGCTTGTTCTGGGTGGTATTGCTGGCAAAAATAGCAAGGTTGAGTTCCAAGCTCCTTGCCGCACCACAAAGTATCCTCGAGAGATTCCACCGTTGCCTTGGTACAGGAGTGCCATTCCTCAGATGGCAATGGCTGGATTTCTTCCATTTAGTGCTATCTACATTGAGCTTTACTACATATTTGCCAGTGTCTGGGGCCACAGGATCTATACCATATACAGCATCTTGTTTATTGTCTTTATCATCCTTCTCATTGTCACTGCTTTTATAACTGTGGCTTTGACATATTTCCAACTTGCTGCTGAAGATCATGAATGGTGGTGGAGGTACATAAGTTATCTAATTCTGCATTCATCTCTCCATTGCCTTTTGCCTTAAACTTTTGAAATAATATGAAATTTGGAATTTCTTACTATATCTCACTTCTCCCCTACTGCTTCCAGTTTGTGGTTCATGACAAGTAAATTCTCTTGCGTTTTGAGGACAATTGTATGTAGTTTAAGAATTGTCAAAAGAATTTGGCTGTAGTTGACTTTATGTTTTCTGTAAAGGGAAATTGAATGCCTGAGTTTTCCTGAGAATTTTTTTTTCATCTTGTGTTTATTTAGAATGAATAAAAAGAATGAAGAGACTTTTATAGTTTTTAATGGCACTAGGTTATCTGCAGGTTAGTTGATATGTATTTCTGCTAAATTAAAGGAATATTTTCGCTTGTTTTGGATTATCTATTTGCTAAAATTAGCAGGGATTTTTGTAATCAGATTTGTGGTAGCTTGGGGTTTGTTCATTGGTTCTTTACCTTATCATTTTTAGGTTGTTTAATCTGTTCGATTAGAAAATTTTTCATATTCAGTTGAAATTTAGATAAAGGATTTGTTAGCTGATAATACTTTGAATGACATTAAGGGTTAAATTGTTTCATTTTACTGATCTGGGTCCTTAATTTGTCGCAGGTCTTTCCTCTGTGGTGGATCAACTGGTCTCTTTATCTATGCCTACTGCTTGTACTATTACCATGCCCGATCAGATATGTCTGGTTTTATGCAAACATCGTTCTTCTTTGGTTACATGGCCTGCATCTGCTATGGATTCTTCCTCATGCTTGGCACAGTGGGATTCCGTGCCTCGCTACTCTTTGTTCGTCACATATACAGGTCTATCAAGTGCGAGTAGTGGGCTTAGTTGTCCTTGCCGTGTCCATGAATTCTGTCATAGAAAAGTCTATGATTTTTGTTGGAAATCAGCTCGAAGAGTGCCATGGTTTGACTATGCCTAATGGGAGATCTGCGAGATCTGGCATGTGGGTGACATAGCCATTGGAGAGCTTTTAGGCATCGTGTTTATTAATATTTGGTTTGTATGTAACCAGGAGACAGATTTGTGTAGGATGCTATTATTTTTATACCTCTTAACCTAAAAAAAAGAACCTTCGTTTGATTATGTTTATGTTATAGCTCCGCCTCGAGGTCTTTAAGGGCGCTCAATAAATACGGAGGGAGCTACCTTTGCGCTGAGGAAGGCGACTGAGCATGTCCAATTGTTACAAGCTCGATAACCAATCAAATATTTCAACGTTCTCCTTCATTCTATCTTTGTCGAGGCCCTTTGTAATCACACTAGTCCCTTGCTCATAAACCCATCTTAGCGAAATCTGCTCTATGTAGATATGTTAACAACAAAAGTACTGCTGCTGCTGCAGAAAGATGCATGAAAAATTAAGACGGTCTATTTCAATGATTCGAAAGATGAGGAAAAGGAACAAGGGACTTAGCCCAAATGGCTCATTGACCTTGTGGTTTTCAGCAAGGTTGAAATATCCATAATCTTGGGGTTTGAACCTTGCAAAATTTTCTGCCCTAATTTTTCCTAGGCTTTGACCTCTTATGTATTTGAAAAAAAAAAAAAAAAAAAGAAAGGAAAAGGAAACTTGGGCAGCTCTTTTCCCTTTAGCCTCGGCACTCTTTTAAAACATCAGAGTCGAGAATCCTGTTATCTCCCCGTATTTGTGCCATTTGAGGCCAGAGGGGAATGGGCAGAAACAAGAATGCACTTGGCCTTGCAGAACTTCATCAGCTCCATCCGCAGCCCAAGTGGGTTCATCCCCACCTTTAAACAAAGCAAAAACGTACATATTCTAAATCGTTCTTACTGGTAATTATATACATACATATATATATATATATATATTATTGGTGTTGATATTACTAACTGGTTCTGTCTTGCTTAGACAAAAGTCGTGTTTCATTATCCATAACCATAAACATCTAACCTAAGATCCCACTCAATAGGGGACTAGAAAAAAGCCTCTCAGGCCAATGGACTGCTTTGTTTCTTTCTTCCATGGTTGTTTACAGGGTCGCATCATCATAGATTTGACTAAACCTCTATTCTAGATGAGTGCAATACCTCATAGACACATGGTTCAATTCCTTCATTCTGGCGTGAGGTGGAGAGATGCTAGAAATTAGAACATATTTGAACTCTCACTTATCAATTCAACTATATAGTTTTGTTTAGAAGGCTGTTTCTTATTTTAATAAAGTATTAATCAAGAGTCTTTTTTGTTTATAGTTTCAATCCGAGAAACTCCCTTTAGTATTTTTCCTTTCAAGTTCGCACATTATAGAGCATATTCAACATTAAATCCTAGTGGTCAGCTATTACTCTGAAGCTTTTAAGATCAGTGATTCTATAATTGGTAAAATGCCAGAAAATAGACATTGAACAGTGAGTCTCATCTGTCAAATGCAGTTGGCATTGAACTAAACACATTCAATACCAACTGTATGAGTCTTTGGCAATGGCCACAATGCCATGGAGGTTGTTTATTGCTTCTTCGACACACAATAATAATATGCCATTACCTTAATAATACAATTCAACAGATGAAAATAGAAGAAGAGATTACAGCATGCTTACCTGATTGACGGCTGGAGGGGTTTTGCTCAAGGAAAGGATTTTTTCAAGCTTTTTGGGGGAGAAGTTAGAGACGCCAATGGCTTTGGTGAGCCTGAGAAGTTGACACTCTTCCATGGCACTCCAAACTGACTTGATATCAATGGGAAATACTTCTTTCGGAATTGGAACCCGACTCACCTCTTTCCTGAACTTTAATGGGCAGTGTATCAGATGAAGATCAAGATATTCTAGCTGAAGATTCCTGCCAAACACAAAATTATAAGGAGTGAACAACAAAAGGGTGATCTTCAATTTTGAGTTTGCAAATGTAGATTGTTACTTGAGACTCATTTTAATCGCGGGGATGACTAAGTCTTGTTCAGCAAAGGTGCACCATAGCTTGGAAGTGATAAAGAGTTCATCACGGGACTTGATGAGGCCAATGTTCAAGGCCTCAGCAATTGCTTCTCCAAGTGGCTGCTTTGACTCGTATATGAATTGAAGCTGTATCGAAAGGGCGATAGCCAGCTTTGATTGCCTCAAGAATGGCTGATTTTATGGTTTCTGCATCTGCTGGCGGATAGGATGCTGTGCCCATGCCAATCACTGGCATGCCCAGGCCACAGGAGCCAAATGAAACCTCTGGAACTTTAATCTCCATAATTTTGGCTTATGATTAGACTTTGATGTTTAATGATTGGAATCAGCACCTAAATAGGCCTAATGAAGCTGCACCTTACGGATAAAAGTAAGATTTACACCATTGATTTTGCATTAATTATGATAATTTAGGTTTTATATAATTACATTCACAATCATACAGTTTCGATAACATTAAATAATTATTGTTTGATATAGAAACAAACTAATTAAGTAAATTAACCTACAAATTAAAGCAACACACATGTAATACATCTAGAGAACATCCAACATAAAGATGCATAGTGGCGTAAGAACTTAGATATGGTGTGAAGAATTCTCAATAATATTGGACCGACTGTTCATGTCAAATATCCTCAGCGTCAAGCTCAAGCAGCCAATCATGAGGTCCAAAAACAGATGCAAATGTAATTCCTTTGCGTTGAGGAAGCTGACTTATCTTGTTGGACTCCTCTTCAGTTAATGACCAGTTAAAGATGTCCAGGTTCTGTCTCATTCTCTCCTTGTTGAAGCTTTTTGGTACAGAGCTCACCCCCTGCTCATATAGCCATCTCAAGGAAATCTGCCAAACCATGCTCCAATTCATTTTCCCTTTCTTTCATTTATATTAATTTTATAAATATTGCATGCATGTTGTTTGAATAATAATGTAATTAAAACCCACCTGAGCAGTGGTTTTTCCTTTAGCCTTGGCAATGTCTTGAAGCACATCACACTCCAAAACTCTGTTGTCTCCCCATTTAGTATTGGATGCACCCAATGGTGAGTAAGCTATGACATGAATACCCTTTGCCTTGCAAAACTCCCTCAATTTCTTTTGCTGCCAAAGTGGATTCATCTCCACCTGAAAAAAGAATGGGCAATTACAATTGGAATCTCATCAAAATGATTAATTGTTGAGGCCATATTTACTCACTTGATTAACAGCAGGAGGAATATTGGCAGTGGATAGGAGCTCCTCAAGGTGCTTAGAAGAGAAATTGCTGACTCCAATGGCCTTTGTGAGGCCAAGGTTCTTGCATTCTTCCATTCCTTCCCAGACTGATTTGATGTCTAAGGGAAATATATGTTCCTTTTTGACAGGCATTTGATGTACCTCTTCACTCAGTTTCAATGGCCAATGTATAAGGTACATATCAAGATAGTCCAATTGAAGATTCCTGAGTATACAACAAAAAGACCAAGTGTATATAATGCAATTTTTTTGAGCACCACACTATCTCAAAAGATGCAGGTAATTAACTTAATTCAGTTTGTTTGAATTTAATGTCAAAACAACTTTCCACCAAACAGGCAAGCTAATTAAAGCAAAAACCTATGAGTTCTTTATATATATATATGTAAACTGTAATTTAAAGGCAAGAAAAATTATTACAAATATTAAAATTAATTTGAATAAAAATTTTCTAGATATCATCTTTTAAAAATAATTTATAAATTAATTGGACTAAATCTTGAATCCATGAGCTCGTCTTCATGTTTTGAGTGTTAATAAATGATGAATTATTACTAACTAAATATCAGCATTGACCTGATATATTATTTCAAAAAAAAAAAAAAAACTTATAAGTTGTTGGATGTCCAAGAGCCTAATTAGGGTTGTGCTTATACTTATGTCAGCAGAGTGTTTGGTCGAAAATATTATTTAATTTAAATTTTATATTAATATAAAAATATTTTTAATATTTATAAATTGGATGATTACGTCCATATTGGGTTTAAAAAAGTATCTTCCCCAGTATAGGCGAGGCTCGGCCTGAACCCAGTTCATGGATCCCTTTACTTAGTCAAGGATGGTCAAATTACTGAAGAAAATTATGAAGCTAAGCTATTAAAATTAGCCTGTTGCGCAGTTCTATATATGCTTAATTCACCATGTTTCTAAATAGAATTAGAACAAAACTGCAAATTTCTAACCTATGATCATTTGGAAAGCAACGGTACCTGAGGCTCATTTTGATTTCAGGCACGATGAGTTCCTTCTCAGCAGAGCTGCACCACAGCTTGGAGCAAATATAGAGTTCTTCTCTAGACTTTATAAGACCAAGACGCAGGGCCTCGGCAATTGCTTCCCCTAGAGGCTGCTCCGTTCGGTACATAGAGGCCGTGTCAAAGTGGCGGTAACCTGCCCTGATCGCTTCGATGATCGCAGCCTTCGTCGCTTCATGACCAGCAGGTGGGGATGACGAAGTTCCCATGCCGATGACTGGAATGGTAATTAAGTCATCGCCAGAGCTTAGAGCGACTCCAGGTACTACAGTTGCCATTCGTTATCACTTCTTCTTTGTACTTCTGTCTGTTGAATATTTGCACTTGTACAATCACACCAAAGCATCATTTTATAGTCAGTTTTAATTCGAATTTCATAAAATAAAGACTGGTAAATGTTCCATCATTGTATTGACTAAATTTTATCCAATTAACAGTATAGATGAGGGGAACCTAATTTGAAGTTCTAGAAGGCATTTAGCTTGCCGTTTAAGGATTGATGATTGACCTTAATCCAAGGGCTAAGTATTTTATACACTTCCTTTTTCATACTCTTGCATTTCTACACCTGATTTTTAATTTTACATGTCACCGTCTCCCTGTCATATTTTATTTTCATTTTTTTTGTCTTTTTTATTTCATTAAAAAGCCCCACCTAACTCTTCGTTCAATAATTTAATATTAGAATTACTATTTTATACATTAATTATAGAATTTTAAATTTTACAAACCGCATTATTCATTTATTAATTTAACAAAAAATTGTTAAAATATGTTCTGAAGTAGATGAACAAGTATCAATTTTTTCAAGTTATAAAATTAAAAAACTTTATTATATTCTTAGTCTAATATTGATCTTACACAGACTGGAAGCGGTTATTTTCAATGTCGATTGCTTGTAAAGATCATACTCTAAAAGCTTGTTGATAAGAAAATTCAAAGATGAAGATTGAAAATTAAATGGTCAAGGAACTTAGGCTAAGCGAATAAATGGGTAAGTGCAAATGGTCAAGGAACTTAACCACTACATGCAAGCACACATTAACTTATTCAATTCAACAAGGGCAATTGTTAAAAAATGCCTAGTGGCACTGGTTAACGTTATATATATATAAGGAAATAATTAAACATGTAATAATGAATTATCTATTCTTGATTGGTTAAATTATTTTAAGGAATGAAACGTGTAATAGTTGCTAAAAATGTATTAAAAATAATGAATTAAATATAAATCTTTAATTAGTATGTAAAAGAATAATATTAAAAAAAACAATGCATTAATTAGTTTGGTAGTATTGATAAGATTTTTGCCTGGCTCTGGCTATTAGTATCTGGTCAAGGATATTGACAGCTATGGTAGACTTAGAAGTTAGAGCCAAAATGCAGGAAACCAATCATCCAGAGTTCTCTAACGTTTCAGATCAAAGCATACCAACTTTTCCTCCCGTTTCAGCTGATCAGAAAGGCATTCCCCGTTTAGGCTTGGGAACAGCGTCCGAGGGCCCTCTTGGTGCCTCCGTCGAAATCGTGAAAGAAGCCATTCTCCAAGCAATCAAACATGGCTACCGTCACTTTGATACGGCTCCTATTTACCAAACCGAGAAGCTTTTAGGCGAAGCAATATCAGATGCTCTTCGACTAGGGTTAATCAAATCCCGAGATGAACTGTTTATCACTTCCAAGCTATGGTGCAGCGATGCGCACCATGACCGTGTCCTCCCAGCACTCCAAAAAACACTCAAGTATTGACATTCCAAGCAACTGCTTTAATACTTGGTTCACTCGATTGATTTTTTATAATTTGTTTTTAAATAAATGATAAAAATATCGATTAAACAGAGTCTTAATTTTTATTATTTTTAATGGGATTGTAATTTCCACAGTAATCTGAAGCTGGAGTACCTTGATTTGTATCTTATTCACTGGCCTGTGAGCGTGAGGTCAGGTGATCAATATGAGTTGCCTATTAAGAAGGAAGACATTGTTCCTATAGATCCAAAATCTGTATGGGAAGCAATGGAGCAGTGTGAAGAGCTTGGCCTAACAAAATCGATAGGAGTAAGCAACTTTTCATGCAAGAAACTCCAAACTATCCTTTCCACCGCCAAAATCCCACCTGTGGTGAACCAAGTGAGCCACTTTTCGACTTTTTATTTTGTTTCATTTGCTTGATGTTTTAATTAAAATGGTGATTAAGACATTAATTGTTTTTAACAACTCTCTGTACATGGATGATAAATGATGGATATATTTGTGTTATTGTATGGTATGAAAGGTGGAGATGAACCCAATGTGGCAGCAAAAGAAACTGAGAAAGTTCTGCGAGGAGAAGGGAATACGTATCATGGCTTACTCTCCTTTGGGGGCAGCAAATCGGGTCATGGAATGTGAGCTACTCAAAGAAATTGCCCAAGCCAAGGGAAAATCAATTGCTCAGGTAGTATATATAAACCCCAAACACAATCTCCTTTCTTTTTTTTTTCAAATTTTTTTTTCAATTTATTTAAGTTCACAAGTGTAATGTGTGTATGTAAAATTAAAAAAAAAAAAAGAAATAGCTTCATGACTTAGTTACAAAATGCCACCTCCTTTAAGCTTATTTCACCTCCACGAATTGATGTGTGGAAAGGAATTAATCAAAATAAACTTAGGATATCTATAAACTTGAATATTTGGTTCAATGATAAAATTAAAATTTTTGAATTAGGCTTCCTTTCATTACTATTTTGTTTATTACTTCCGACATATTAATCACTACCATTCACACGCGTAGAATTTATCCATGAATTATGAAGTTTAATTATAAATAATGATTAGAACTATATTAAGAAAATAGACAAAAGGAAACATAGAGGAGCCAACCCCTCTTCCCCCCATTGAAAAAAAAATAGACAAGCATACAAGTTTGCTCAGTTTAAAAACGTCTAATTAATAAGCAGATGTTTAATTTGCGAAATGACATGATCAGGTTTGTTTGAGATGGGCATACGAAGAAGGAGTATGTGTACTTGTAAAGAGCTTCAATAAGGAAAGGATGAAAGAGAACCTTGATATTTTTAATTGGAAGCTGAGCCGTGAGGAGTCACACAAAATAAGCCTACTTCCACAGCGCAAAGGATTTACAGGTGAGGGATTTATCTCAGATGATGGTCCTTACAAGTCTCTTGAACAGCTTTGGGATGGAGAGATTTGATTATCTTGGATTGGAAATAAACGAATTGGATATTTAGTTCCTAGTTGGTTAGTATCCAATATGAAGAATGAGAATTATTATTCTTAGGAAACTTCACAGTTATCCAAGTTCTTGAGGCAACTTATCAGGTTTACAATTTACAAAACTTGGAAATTATGGAATCTGTTGGTATCAATAAATGGATTTTTATGCAACTTGAGTTGTCTCTAGAGTCGAATATATTCTATAATCTTTGTTTGACAGACCACTTGTTGAGTATAATATCTCGAGAGTGAAATTTATCCTACTCATTTTTTTATATTCAAGGTTGTCAAGATTTGGATTTTGATTACTGAACTCCAGAGTTCACTATAACACCAAATTACGCAACTGTTAGCCTACTCATTTTGCTACTAAACCTAGTATTTTCAAATTAGTGTGCTTCCTATCTATAAGCTCTTGTAATTTGCATAAGCAAAAAATAAGCAAAGAGTTGCAAAATTAGATACAACAAAATTCTTAAAAAACTGAGCAATAAATATTACAAGCCTTATCTTCTTACATTAACCATAATCAAATAAACAATAACTTATTTTTCAAGCACTGTTACTGCTTCCATTGGCTGATCCAGGCATCAGCTCTCTTAGCAAGGCCACCACCTGCAGCATATTAGGCCTTTTGGAAGGGAGGTCATCCACGCACTGCAATGTTATCTCCAAGTACCTCATCATCTCTTTAACTTCTTCTGCTTCTGCTTCATCAGTTCCTTTAGTCGCTAACAGTATTTCTGGGTCTATCACTTCCATTTGTTTCTGTTCTCTCACCTTCATTTTTACCCACCCCACCAAGTTGGTGTCCCCAAAATCCTCTTTATCGGTTGGACGCTTTCCAGTCAAGAGTTCCAGAAGGACAACTCCAAATGAATAGACATCACCCTTTGCTGTGCATCGGAAACTTTGGTAGTATTCTGGTGGGACATAACCGGGTGTGCCTGCAAGTGTGCTCACACTTAAATGAGTGTCAAGGGCACTTATGAGCCTTGCCATCCCAAAATCTGAAACCCTGGCTTCCAATTCATGGTCTAATAACACATTGCTTGACTTCATATCTCTATGTATAATATGGGGAATGCAGTTGTGGTGGAGGAAACAGAGTCCTTTGGCTGCACCCCTGGCAATCTTTTTCCTTTCCTCCCATGTTAGAATCCGTCGATCTCTTTCCTTTGCTCTTCCATGGAGCATTTCTTCAAGACTACCATACTCCATATACTCATACACAAGCAGCCTTTCCTCCCCGACCATGCAATAACCCAACAAAGGTACAAGATTCCTGTGCTTTATCTTCCCCAAAGTTTCCATTTCAGCCATGAATTCTCGATCACCCTGGCAGCTCAATCGAATAAGCTTCTTGATTGCAACACTTGAACCGTCCTTCAATGTGGCTTTAAAAACTTCTCCAAACCCACCGCAACCTATGAGGCTTGCTGCTGAGAAACCATTTGTAGCCTCAATGAGTGTGGAAAACTTGAGTTTCCTTAGCTGCCTTTGAAATGTTGCAACATTGATGCTCAACGGTTCTTTCTCTTTGTCAATCTTCCATGTGGTAGCCGCATGAGCTGCTTGCAACCTATTAAGCATCTTGACCTCCTCTGCTTCTTTACGCCTTGCACGCATAGCAATTGCCCATACAATCAAAATGCATATAGATGCAATAGAAATAAGAATTCCAAGGACAATGCTATTAGCCCATGAAACAGCAGCAGGCTTCCTACTTCCTTTGCTACCACCCAATTCTGAATTGGCAACAGCTTGGTTGTTTCCGTTCCTGCATTCAGGCAATGGAACTCCACAAAGTCCTGGATTATTGGCATACTGGGTTGCTGGAAGTGTACTGAGCTGACCCCTTTGTGGAATTGGCCCTGTTAATTCATTATTGGACAAGTCAATCTGCACCAGGAACGATAGGTTTGAGAATGACTCTGGGATTTGGCCCTGCAACCTGTTATGTGATGCATCAAACACACCTAAATTCCTGAGCTGGCCGAGAGTGGAGGGAATCTCTCCAGAAAGCTGGTTATGTGCTAATTCAAGAACTTGCAAAGCCACCATTTCCCCTATTTCTTCTGGGATTTTCCCACGAAGCTCATTGTAAGAAAGATCCAGATACTCCAATGTCTGGTATTGTGTGAAAAGACTCAACACTGCTCCAGAGTACATTCTTGTAAAATCGCAACTTTTCAAGTTCGGGATCTGCAACAGTCTTTCAGGCCTGATTCCAGCAAACTCTAACAGTCCTCCAACTCCTTTGCAGGAATTTCCGACGTTCCTTACAAACACCAGAGTGTTCCCAGCAACAACTCCACTCAACGATTTTGCCCCAAGCTGCCGGCCAAGTCTCGGTGGGATTTCTCCTGTGAGCTTGTTGCTATTTAAATCTAACCATACCAAGCTGGTGCAATTTCCTAGTTCTCCTGGTATCTCACCATTCAAACTATTGTTTGCAAGCTGCAGAACAGCTAATCTTGACAAAAGGCCAAATTCTTGAGGGATTGAACCGGTGAGTTCATTGCTTGTGAGAGATATCCATTCAAGATTACCGCAGTTGAATAACTCCACAGGAATCTCACCACTAAGACGATTGTTATTAAGGATAAGATCTTTTAGGTTCCTGCATTTTCCCAATTCTTTTGGGATTCTTCCTTCCAAGTCATTATACCATGCTATCAGCTGCTCAAGATTCTCAAGCGCCCCAAACTCTGTTGGAATTGAGCCATTGAGATAGTTTAAACTAAAATCTACTGTCCTCAGATGGGGACATTGTGACAGTTGGGGTGGGATTTGTCCCGTAATGAGATTGTCTGGAATCCTCAGCTCTTCAAGTGCAGCAGCTCCTGGGCATATATCGGGTGGGATGATTCCAGAGAATTTATTGGAACTCAAATCCACAATTCTCAAGCGCTTACAGTCTGAAATGGAAGAGGGGAATGATCCAGAGATGATGTTATTACTCAACAACAAGGCCTCTAATGCGCTAAAACTCTTAAGGATAGAATCTGGAAAGGGACCTGTTATGTTGTTATTAGATAAATCAAGAGCTTGCAGATAAGAACAGGAAGAGAATGAAAAGGGAACTGGGCCTGAAAAGTTGTTGTAAGAAAGCTTAAGCTCTAAAAGTGAGCCACATGCATTTCCCAACTCAGAAGGAATCCAACCGGTGAGATGGTTATGAGAAAGATCCAATCTTTGTAAGCTACTAAGCTCCCCAAAAGAGCTTGGGATCTCCCCAGTGAGAGAATTGAATGAAAAATTCAATGTTGTGAGTTTTGTGCAATTCGAAAGATAGACAGGAATGGAATCCATAATATGGTTTACTGACAAATCTAAGAGCAACAAGGAATTGCAAGAATTCTCAAATTTCAAGCCTGAAATAGATCCTGTTATGTTGTTATAGGAGAGATCAAGAAACTGCAACTTATCGGGATCTGATAAAAGGTTATCAGGTAAAGGCCCTGTTAAATTGTTATGGGAAAAATTCACGTATTCCAGATTTGGAAGCTTGGAGAAAATGTTGTCAGGCACTAGACCAACAAGTCCAGAGCCAGACAAGTCAAGGCGCTTCAATCCATATGGGAGTAGAAGCAAAGTAGTTGAATTTACAGTAAACATATTTGAAGACAAACTCAAAACAGATAACATATCTAGAGAAGCCAAAGGATTAAAAAAGATAGTCCCTGAAAGATTACAATGACTAAGATCAAGTTGAATGACTCTTCCTGAAGAGCATGAAACTCCATACCAGGCGCATGGATTCCTTTCAAGCTTCCACCCTGACAAAACTCCATTTGGGTCCTGTTCAATCATCTTCTTGAACGCAAGAAGGGCTACTGCATCGGTTTTGATCGATGGAACAACTACTTGTCCCGTCGCAGAAACAGAAGTATACACAGTAAAGACAAGTGTTAGAGCCAGATGATAGAAAAGCTGAAATGGTTTACTCTCCATTGAAGAAACAAGTTTTCAAGAACACAGTTGAGAGAGAGAAATTAAAGTTACAAAGAGTTCAAAGCAAGAGAGATGGAAAGGGATAGTGCAATGTTTGGAAGAGAGAGAGGGAGTGGTGAATATGATGAGAAATTGTTGTTGATGCAAAGCAGAAGAGAAGCTTTAGAAATAGAAGTTGCTTTTATAATGTTATTTTTCATGAAATGGGAAAAAGGAAGGGAACATGGGAAAGGAATAAGAAAAGAAAGGGAATTTTCAGATAGAAATTGGTGGTGGAATGTGAGATATGTGCATTGTACTCATACGGTTCATTTCATTCATAGTTTTCTAGTACAAGAAATCGTAGAGAGCAAAAAATATGGAAATATAGAAAGACAGAATTTGCTATGAATGCATCGATTTGGACTTTTGGTCAAAAGCAAAAGGACCCACAGACAAGCTCTAACTAAGATCGGCTCCTTTAAAGGAAAAAAAAATCTTTGATTTGGACTATGGGTTGTTGATCCAAGAGTCACTGTCTCTTGTCAGAGAGGCGTGGGAGAATGTTTCCTTGTTTCATCTTTGAGAATATATCAGATGAAGATACAGTGTAATTGACTTTTTAACATTACAGATCTCAGTCCCCTGTCAGGCTCACGATGTTTGTTACTCGTATAAGGATCTAGTTTTGATGCAATCCAGCTGACTATTGTGTTTATCTAGTCCAATCCTTCTTCCAACTGCCTGAAAATTTTTATTTCAGTGGCATCAACAGATCTTCAACCTGGACAAAATCCAATCTTTAGATCAATGTAACTGATTTCTTGCTTTTGTTAATCTTGATCTGAGCATTTGATAGAAGTTATTCCTTTGTTTGCTTGTCTCAATCTTTTTACCATTTTTATGCCACTTTCAGTTTCAATTACAGTTCCAACATCACTTCCCTAATTTACAGGTTTGCTACATGAAAGTTTTTCACTTTCTTTTTTTATTTTTATTTTTTATAAAAATAGATCACAATCTAACAATAAAAAATATATATTGCAGATGCTATTAAAAATTATTATATAAATTAATTGATTTAAACTCAAAATAAATTATGCTCATTTTTAGTTCTATAATTAGTTGACTAATTTTTTTTAAAAATCTATACTTGTTCACTTTCTAATTAATGCCATGTAAAGTTTCAACTATTTAAGATACTCGAGCAGCACTTAAAGCTTACCTTCTTGGATCTAATTCTCCAATGGGATCTATTTGAAGTGTGTTAACAAAAATCGAAGTTACATCCAGCATATTTGCTGTTATCACAAAATAAGCATAGATCCCTATTTGTGATGGCTAAATAGTAGTAATACAAATTTCAAAGCTATAAAAAAACATTATTTATTATTTATTTTTAAAAAAATTTGAATCATTCAATTTTTTAAATAATATACATAATATTTTTATCGAATTA